TTCCACACAGAAAGCAGGGAGAATGAAGCAGAAGTGTGATGAGGCTATAAACCATCCAATTTCACCCCAAGTTACACGCTTCCTCCAGCAAGGCTTGATGTCCTAAAGGTTCCACAACCTTCCCAAAGAGCACCACCGAGGACCAACTGTTCAAATATATGTGCCTAAGGAGGACATTTGTAATTCAAAACTCAACAAGCCAGTTTAAAGTAACTCAGAAGATCCAAAGTATGCTTCTCCAGCCTGTTGCAGGCACCACAGCTCTCCAGTGAAGCAAAAGCAGCCTGCCACATCTTGCAGAGTCACTGGGATGCCACTTCTTCCCATCCACATGTAGTATATGAGAAAACAAAGCCTACCCAAGAGAGTGGAAGTAGCCTGTCCATGTCTTACTTACTGGGCTTACAAAACCAGCAGTAAATGTAGGACTCAGGGTAGTACCATATGATCTCATTTGCCTAGATGAGGAAGAAAGAAGGTGGTGGAAGGGAATCTGGGGAACAGGGCAGCACAGGATCAGGAAGAGAGGGGACACAACAGGAATGGCTAGAGAGAGAAAAAAAAATCCAATCACCACATAGGCCCCCAGAAGGCCAGATCTTCTCCAGCACATGTGGTGTCTAAGCGCTAAGTGTGTGAGAGAAGAAAGGCAAGTCCTTCTCCAGGAGTCAGTGCCTGAGCACCTCCTTCAGGGAAAACACTCACCAGCCCTGGAAGGCTCCTTCAGGGGAAAAACTCACCAGCCCTGGGAGGCTGCAGACTCCAAGGACCTGGAATGGGATATTCATTGATATGCAAATATCTTTACAAGCACTTAGTTAATTATAAGTCAAAAGTAGCCCTGAAACAGAGACAAAGGATCCCTGGAGAGGAAGAGTTAAGGTACTGAAATAGATACTCATAGGAATAACAAAGAGAAAGTGGCCCCCTATCATTCCAATCAAACAAGAGAAGTAACTGCAGGGGGGGAATGTGCCAAAGATGTTTCCCAGATGAGGAAGCTGGACTGAGTAAGGAATATTTGAAGGGATGCTAGACTCAGGGAACCTAGGACTCGGGACAAAAACAAAAACAAACCCTCTCAGGTGGAGGAAACCTTCATCCTGTATTTCTGAGTCAAATAAGTAAGGGAGGTATGGTGGCAGCGTTTTTAGACGTGCAAAAGGGTTAAGACAAAGGAGTTATGGGCTTTACATTATGATTCATAGCAGTAGCAAAATTACAGTTATGAAATAGCAATGAAAATAATGTCATGGTTGGGGTCACCCCAACATGAGAAGGCCCATCAAAAGGTTGCACTAATATTAGAAAGGCTGAGAAGCACCAGGCGAGGAGCACGGGAGTTGTTATGGAGCAGCATCTCCCTAGCAACTGGGCAAGGGCCATATAATGTTGGTGGGTAGAGGAATTCAGGCTGATGTTCCAGAGTGCTGGCTGAGTGCCCACCAGGACACTATGAGAGCAGTAGTCAGGAAGGCAGGCTCTAAGGACAAGGTGGTCTGAGAGGAGTGGTAGGAAAGCAGCTCATTCCAGGACTGGTAGCTGTCTTAGGGTTTTTATCGCGGTGAAGAGACACCATGACTATGGCAACTCATAACTGAAAAACATTTCATTGTGGTAGCTTACATTCTCAAAGGTTCAGTCCATTATCATGATGAGACAGAGCAGCACGCTGACAGACATGGTACTGGAGCTGAGAGTCCATGCATTTTGATTCAGAGGCAACAGGAAGTGTTCTAAAGTACTGGGCATGGATTTGAGTTTGAGGCATGTGTGAGACCTCAAAATTCATCCCCCACAGTGATACACATCCTCCAACAAGTCCATACCAACTCCAACAAAGCCACATCTCCATTCCCTATGAGTTTGTGGGGGCCAATTATATTCAAGCTACCACAGTTATGAATTGTTAAGTCAAATGAAAGTAAGACAGATTGACATTCTGGTGTCCAGGGGAAATGCCATTAGACTCTCCCTGCACCTGGTAAGGTGATTCTTCCAAGGCCTTGTGGATACCGCAGTAGAAAACTAACCTTGTACTTTCATTCCAGGGAACAGGTCAGGCTTCTGCTGTTCAGTCTGGCCCCCAAGGAAACTGTGTTATAGTGTGTACCCCACTCAACATACTCACTACAACATACTCCTGGGGGAGCTGTACTAATCAGGATAGAGAGCCCTTCTACAGGAAACACCTACTTTAAGAATTTGGCTCCTAGGACAAATTCCAGCTCTTTGACACAGCAGGTATGGGGGAAGGGGGCAGTCCACATTTGGAGTGCCCTGGCTCATGATTAGAAACTGTTCCAAGCATGTGCTCAGGTGTCAGAAGGAAGCCAGTTGCCATCCAAGGAGGAAGAAGTCCACCACGAGAGGCCAACCCAAAAGGGAATCTTGACAAGCAGTCTTTAATGCCCTGACATGCTGTGCAGATTCTCTCCCCTTTACCTTGGAGAATGCAGGAACTCTTTCTCTCTCTGAGAGAACAGCTACAGTCTTGGGTGGCTTCCATGAGTCTAACACAAGAAACATAGGGATCCTTGCAAAATGCTTCCAGAGCTGAGAGACAAAAGTGCCTAAATCTGGGGCATTCGATGAAAAGTTAGGTCTTGAAGGACTGGGGCAGCTAAGACAGAATTGAGATAGGTATTGCAGAGTATGAACACTGAGAAGTCCTAAGAAGTTGACCTAGTGAAGTCTACTGGGTCAGAAACAAGGAAGTGCACAGCATGGCCCTGATCCACACTAGAGAATATGGATGAAGAGAGCTAGGATTGAGATCTTGTGCTGGGACCCCAAAACAAGAAGACCTCAAAGAGTGATGGGGTTAGGAGAAGTTGTAGCGTTGTAGCGTAGAAGGTTGTATGTGGAGGATGGTTGGAGAGGAGCTCTCCAGGACAGTCTCATCCAGAGGCTCAGGAGAGAGTCAAGCAGCAGATAAAGGCTGTCCTCAAGAAGGAGCCCTAAGAACCTGGAAGAGGACATGTTTCCTTAAGGTGCTTCAGATGTAAGAACCTATAGCTTGGCTGCCAAGTCCACACTTGAAATAAGCCTTAATAAGATCAGGGCCATTGGCAGTTTTGGACAGTGTACCTGGAGAAAAGATTGCTGACTTCAGGAATTCAGCCATGACCTGTAACACTCAGCCTAAGGCCACCGGAGTCCCAGACAAAAATTCCTGGCCTTTTTACAGCACCCATGCCTTCAATGGTGCTCCCCTGGAAAGCACCCTCAGGATATGGTTAGGTCCCTAAGTTACCCCTTCCTTGTCATTTTTCCTTACTTAAGGATCTGCCTCACAATCTCTGAGTGTCTCCTTCCAGTTACACCTAGCCACTCCCAAGCCTCTTTGACTGTACCTACCATGCTCCTCCACAGCCTCACCAGCATCTATCCAGCAACACACATATCACTGCTCCTATTTCTACCTCAGCTCTCACAACCTGCTCTGCTCCTCTTCCCGCAGCCCCACTCCAAATGCCTTACCTGGTAACCCACAGGTCTGCCCTGAACTTCTTCCTGTCCCACAGTACTCAACCACTAACAGCCTTACCTTGTTCTCTCAGAAGCCCCTCTACCTGTACTACACCACCCACTGGCCCACCCTGCTTCTCCTTCATCTCTGCCCCTGGCTATCCTCAACCCCTTCTGCCCTGTTTCTCCATTAGCACCAGCCTACGTCACGTTAGAAGCCGAAGCTCTCTCCCTACTTCCTACATCACTGCTCCCAGGTACTCACCCTCAGAGGTCAGCAGTCACAGCGCAGCCTTCAGCAGCCGTCCGAACTCCACTAAACAGCAGCCAAAGCTCCACATCATACTTCGCCACTAGCAGCACTGCCCTGGTTCTCCCAAAGATTTGCCCACCTAGGCCAGCACTCACTACCTTACCAATTACTCTCACTTCAGCATGCACTGCTCTGCCCTCCACTCCCCGCATCATACTGTATCAATATCCAAAGCTCCAGCACCATTGGGTATGGCACCACTGAGAACCAAGCCTGTTACTGTTGAGACATACCCTAGGTCAGCACTTACAGCTGTACCCACCACTCCTACTTCAGCATACAGTCTAGCTTTTCTCCATCTAGCGGCGCTCTGCCATAGTCACTTAGTAGTCAAAGGTCTCCCTCCCCCTCCGTAAATTAATAACTACAGCCTCTTCCTGGTACTCTGTAGACCCTACATGCCTAGGGCAACACTTGCAACACCACCCAGCACTCCTACCTCAGTATGCACAGCACTGCCCACCGCTCCAACCTCAGCATCCAGAGTCCCGCCCCCGGGCATTAAACATGCGCAGTACCACCCACCACTACTAACCCAGAATGCATGCCCCACATGCCACTCTATCACCACAAACACCTCCCCTTCTCTTTCAGAGTTTCTAGGCCTTTATTATGTCAATGTCCAAAACCCTGTCCCTGCTTCGTACGTCACCAATCCCTAAACCGCCTCCAACCTCTACCTCAGCAAACACAGCCCCACCCACCACTCCTAATTCAGCAAGCACAGCCATTCCCTCCTCTTCCCCTCCTGTAGCCCTCCATCTCACTTGCCAGGATCCAAAGCTCAGCTCCGTCAACCTATCTCACCGCTCACTGGCTGGTACTTTGAGGTCCTGCCCACCTTGTTAAATATTCAGTCTGGCTACCACTGCCATTTCAAAACGCACAGCCCTTCCCTTCTCCTTTAGCAGATCTGGGCCAAATTAAATTGGGATCCAGTACCCCGGTAGCCGCACCCAAGCAGAACAGTACTCACAATCCCGCCCAACTCGGATCACTGCCTGGCCCAGGCTACAAGCATTGGCAAATCCGTCTGTTCCCAAGGGATTCTGTGGTGTAGAAACTCCCATTCCCAACTCCTACCTGGTACTCACATCCCAGCCCCGCCCCGCCCCGCCCCGCCCCGCCCCGCCCCGCCCCGCCCCGCCCCGCCCCGCCCCAGACCAATGCCTAACCTCAGAACTCACAGCTCTTCCCTGGACTCATTCCAAGCCCCTCCTCAACAAGTCTCTCCCGTCACAGTTCCCACCCTGCACCAGGGCACACTGTTCCTACTTCCGAATGTCTCTGCAGACCCATCTGACTAAATATTCGGTTCCTTTTCTCACTTCTTTCCTTTCTCAGCCGCCTACTACAGACCCTGACCCAGCTTTATCTGCCAGACTGCTTTAAGAAACCGGTAAGTCCTACAATATATCCTAGCATTCAGTGTGTCTCACTGCTCAATTACGTAAGTCCATGCCCTCCTATCCTTGATGCATGAATGGTATCTGTAGTTCTAATTGGCTGCGAATGTTTAAGCACGTTGAAGGACGTGGTGTGCGTGCTTTCGCAAGATTACGTGCACAGGATGTGGATTCGTCTCTGCGAGCGTTCCTCTGTTTAAAGCAGAGTTAAAAAGTCCCAGAACACTGGACGGCACCACCCAAATGTTTTCCTTCCTTTCAAGCCAATGTTAGCCACCCAAGCTTAGGAGCCTTTGGTACTGGAGGCCTCCAGGAACGCTGAAAGGCAGAAGACTGCTGTAAACTCGAGTCTGCTGAATGCTAAGCAGTAACACTGAAGAGACCCACAGCAAAGGACAGGTAACCTCTGAGTCAGTCTGTGAGCTTTCCCCATTCCTACTGAAGGTACCCCAGGCTCTGGCTTCCCCCACTGTGCAACTTGTTACCCATGCAGGGCCATCCCACAAGGCTGGTCTAGCTCGAAGCTGGTTGGTCTCTGCCTGCTTCATCTTGGCAGCATCTCACTGTCTCTCCGAAGTGTGGATGCAGGCGGATGAACACCATGCTACTCCACAGGCCCCGGACCCTCCTTACTTTTAGACTGAAAACACTGGTATTCGGTATACCTGAACATTTCCATGCAACCACATTCTGTGTGGCATTATTTTTCTCCTGTTAGATCGTGCGTGCTTGGATCAATAATGGGAACCACTTGCAGAATTAACTTTCTACATCAGGTGGTCCTTGTCCCAGCCAGAAAGGGACTTTGAACCAATCTTTGAGTGAGAAGCATGTGTCAGCTTGCTTCTCACTCAAAGAATTAGGTCAGCTCTAATTCTTATCTCTAAAACTTGCTGCCAGTAGCCAATATAACTATCTTTTACTTGCTGTTTTCTCTTTATCTGCCTTCTGCTTGTGCAAGTGGAGAAGCAAAGACAAGGGGAAGCAGGCAACTCCTTCATCTTCAGAGCAGGCTTGTCTGCATTGCCCTGAAGAAGGGCACTCAGCTGGTTTCACTGCAGGACAGTGAATGAAGTGGGGAAAGAGGAAATGTCTGGGGTGGGCAGCCAGATTACAAGAGACCCTGAGGGGCCTACTGAAGTGGGTGGAGTCTGGGCTGGGTGGCACAGGAGCCCTTGGCAGGTTTCAGCCAAAGAATGAGGTGAGCTGCTGACTCCAGTACCAAGGTCATTCTAAGTGCAGTGTGGATAGTGGAGGGCAGCAGGCAAGGTTCACAGCCCAGAACCTCCAAAAACTAGTGCTTGGAGAGGCAGTGGATGGTGGGGGCCTGATAGGATGGTGGCTGGGAAGATAAGGGAAGATGTTGAGGGAGGCATTCATAGGCAAGTACTGCTGTATACCAGGTGGTGGGAGGAGGAAAGAGAAAGCATAGGAGCTACTACTACATCTAGGCAACAAAAATAGGGCAGACTATGACCGCACTTACAAAGGGGAAGCCAGTGGATTTGGGTTCATAGAAGTTGAATTCCCAAGTCCAACAGCCTGGATGAGTCACCTGAGTAAGAAGGTGTGGGCCATGTCATAGGAGCTAGAGCAGGCCAGCGAGCACAGAAAGGGAGCAACCAGGGATGCTGAGGTATTAAGTATTGTGAAGGCAGAGTTGCCGTAGGCCAGTTGTTCTCCCTATAAAACCAGGTTTGTGAGGCATGTCGGGGGATGGAGCATGAAAGGAAGGAAGGTCAGAGACTTGTGTGTGCAGCAGTCTTGTGAGATTTTTGCTGTGAGTGCTGTGTAAAGAAGGTAGGATAGCATGTTCTTTGGAGGGATACCTTGCTCAGCCTAGATATAGTAGGGAGGGCCTGCATCCTGCCTCAAAGCAATATGCTAGACTTTGTTGACATCCCATGGGAAGCCTTACCCTCTCTGAGGAATGGAGGGGGGTGAAATGGGAGGGAAAGATGGAGGGAGTAGGAGGAGGGAAGGGAGTCAGAACTGGGATTGGTATGTAAAATGAGAAAAGATACTTTTTAAAATAAATTAATTTTAAAATGTGGAAAATATATATACATTGTCATGGCATGAATCTTATGGAGAAAGATGTGTTTATTATTTTTGTCATGCCTGTTCAATCATAAGTAATAAGAAGATATCCTTTGTTGTTTATAAAATTCTGAATTAGAACAGAACATTAAAATCTAGCAAACAATTTTTAAAGAGTTAGGTTAAGCCTGAAGGCATGAGTGCCTCGCAGAAGAGACTTCCTTTGTGTGGTAAAAGAGGTGTGCAGACAGTGATGCCGAGCAAGAGCATGCTGGCAGGACAGACGCTCTAGATCCTAGGACCTAGAATGAGTGCCATTGGTCCTGAGTGACACAGAACTGACTTGGGAAATGTTTTAGTTTCACTTTGTTGCAGTGACAAACACCATGGCCAAAAGCAATATAGGAAAATGTTAGACTTTGATTTTCGTTGGCTGTGATAAAATATTGATAAAAAACTTCTGTGTGGAGGGGGTAGCATTATTTGACTTGTATTTCCAAGTCACAGTGCATCGTTGAGGGAAGTCAAGACAGGAATGTAGAAGGCAGAGCACTGCTTTCTGGCTCGCTCATAGGCGCATGTTTAGCTAGCTTTCTTGTACAGCTCAGGGCCACCTGCCTGGGGATTAATAATCTAGACATTCTTCCACAGGCCAATCCGATGTAGAAAGAAAATTATTTTACAGATTGCAGCCTGTCATTGGAGGAAGTCAGGGCAGGAATTTAAGGGAGAAACTTGAAGCCAGACCTGTATACTATTCAGCGTAGTGACCAAGGAGCTCACTCCCAGGCAAGGAACAGAAACCAAGAAGGCATGCTGTTTGATTGCCTGCCTATAGATTCAGGCTTAGCTAGCTTCATGTATAGCCCAAGATCACATTCCTTGATGTGCTACTGCCCACAGTAGGCTGGACCCTCCTACAATAATTAATATTTAAAACTCCCCGCACAGATGTCCACACTGGCCAATCTTATCTGGACAGTCCCTCAATTGACTCCCTTCTGAGGTGAGTCTAGGCTACGTCAAGTTGATAGTTAAAACTAAGTAGGACTGTTAGTGCTGCCAGCCTTGACAAGCTGAAATATGATGGGAGAAAGGGATGCCTGGCACACTGCCTTTATCTTGGAAGGGCCATGTCGTGTAACTGAAGGAGGCCCATGAGACTACGGTAATATACTTTAAAAAGGTCAGAAAGGCCAAAACCAGAATGGAGGGGGGGGCAGTTCATGGGCAGAGCCAGGATGGAGCCCTGTGCTCAGTGCCCCTGTTTTTGCTGCTGCCACGATATTGAAGATGGTCACCCTTGGCTCTTCCACAGGAAATGTATTCTTGGCACTTCATGCAAATGGAAACTGGGTGGTATGCTAACACTGAGCAGAGGTTCTGACCTCATGTCCCTGGCTCTGTCAGTACGACCCTATCAGTTTCTAAGGCACAGTGTGTCTCTCACAAGGGACACACACGACTGCAAGGAACTGGATAGGAGGTGTGCAAAATCAGGTCACTGCCACCCTAGGCCATTGCTTTCTCACTCAGCATCTTTGTCCCCTTGGCTATACTAGGGTCTTAATAGTCATACTGACTCTGCTGAGTCCTTTGAAGATGCGATTCACTATCCAAAGATTCTGATCACCTAGGAACTGGAACATAGAAAGTATATGAGGATTGGTACCCTAGTGCCTCGTGTCATCATTTGTTTCCTTAGGCTCCGGTCATGGGGTGCAACAAACTGCTTGAGAAGCATGACACCCACAGGACCCAGGAGGAGACATAGATGAGGCTACTTGAGTTCAAAGGGAATTCCAAAAGTAAATCTAGTTTCCATTTCAAGAATTGGTGTTCAGTAACTCTGATTGGAACTGGACAGTTCCAGTCCTATATGACCTATAATGACAGAACCAGGAATCAAAGAGTATTGTACAGTGACATAGAGAGAAAGAAAAAGACAAAAGCTTAGACTGTCCCTCTCTGCTAAAAAGCCAGCCTACTCAGATGTGAAGCCTGACTAGGTCAAGATGGCCTTCCCTCCTTTGTGTTTCCCTAGAGCTCAGTGACCTCTGTCAGCACTGATCACGCTATTCTTATGGTACCTTCCTCTAGCTATCTCCATCCTATTCTGTGAGCTCCCCAAGACTACATGGACCATGCATCATCCTAATTGCAACCATTGGCATTGGGCCTGGTATTGAGCAGGGCACCATTAACTTGTAACAGGAAGCATGTCAAGTTCAATGGCATTTCAGGACACATGGGAAGCCTTTGGGGAAGGTGAAGCCTCATGAACATGAGCCTGGAGAGCTGAGTTGTGATGTGCTTCTGTGTTTAGGCGCAAAGACTCTGAGGAAAATGAAGTTTCCCTGCCTCTCCTTCCGGCAGCCCTATGCTGGTTTAATCTTAAATGGAGTCAAGACTCTTGAGACTCGTTGGCATCCCTTGTTGAGGAACCATCAGAAATGTACCATCGCCATCCATATTGCTCACAGGGACTGGGAAGATGATGCCTGGCAGCAGGTGCTGGTAGAGAGGTTGGGAATGACCCTGGTGCAGATTCAGACCTTACTACAGGAAGGAGAAAAATATGGCCGAGGTGTGATTGCTGGTAAGTGAGGATGTACCAAATATGAAGTAGACAATTGATACAGGATTCAAAATAATTCAAAACACACTCTGTTTTGCTTTTAGCTAGAGGGTATTGGCTAAAGTTTCTAAGCAGCCTGTCTTAAGAGCTGCTGGAGTAACTAGGTTGGTGTACATAGGCCTGGGTTCCACAGACTCACGTGAGTTCCACAGACTCACAGACTCTTGATTCTGGGTGTCAGATCCTGTTTATGTTGTGACCTGAAAGCCTGTTTCAAGTCAGTACCTGTTTGTAGTATTGGATTATTTGAGCATGAATATATGCAGAAGGCATTGCCTATGACAGTTCAGCATAGGCGTTAAAAAAGTGGTGTGCTCTCTAGAGGAAGGCTGCTTTCCTGACTTCTGATGCCTGTCACAAGGACCCTGGCTAAGACAGCAATCAACATCTCATTCAGTCTCCTGGTGACCTAATTAGGAATCTTATTGACGGTAGGCTTCCTGGCTGGGGCTGATGCTCTTTTAGTAGATCAACGCCAGCCTTCACAGTATGCTAGAATCTGACTTTCCCTTAAAACAGGAGGCACAGAGGACAAGCCACTCTCCTTTTCCTTGATGCCTGTGGCTGCCTCACCCAGGGTTCCTTAGTTCAATTGGTTTTGTCAGCAGTATTCAACAAGAACAGTTCCTATTTCCTGTCATTTGGTGATGTTATACCCCATCAAATGACACTGTAGTGACCCTGCTGTCATAACCATAACCTTGCTGTATAGAAGAGAATACATCTGTATGTTTCTTTGTTCCCAGGACTTGTTGACATTGGAGAGACTTTGCAGTGTCCAGAAACCTTAGCTGCTGATGAGGTTGTTGAACTGGAAACCCAAGCTGTGCTAACCAATGTGCAGCAGAAGTACCTGACTCCGATTTCAAACCCCAGATGGTTACTAGAGCCCATACCTAGAAAAGGGGGGAAAGATGTATTCCAGGTGGACATCCCAGAGCACCTGATCCCTTTGGGGAAGGGTTGGAGCAGTGAATGCTCTGCAGAACAGTGTCAGGAAAACTAAATAATGGCCCTATCATTAGTCCATCAGAGCATAAACCTCTAAATATCAGGGGGACTCTAAGCCCCTACTGCCATGCAGGCTACATCCCACTCTGTGCTGTTGCCAGACCCAGACTGCTGTGCCGTCAAGAAAGGGGACAGAAGTGAGGAAATCCCTCCTGCGGTGGCTCTGGCAGTGAACCCACAAAGCTTCAAGAACCTTGGCCTTAGGGAAAAGGAAAACTGCCATGAAATGGCTTTTTGCTGACGTTCACCTTAGTCCTACTTTTTCTGGAATGCATAAATAAATGTGTTGATGATAAGCGTTAGTGTCTGGACTCCCTTTGCCCTTTTTCCCCATGTCTTTATTATAGTCAAACCCCATGCAGCATATAAACAACATGCAGGGACCATGTCACAAGTCTGGAATCAAGACCAATGCACTGAGAAATCTGTGATGAAGAGAAAATCAGCAGTGGCCCATCCTTGCTCTTGTTCTGTGGAGAGTTTCCCTCAGGCAGTAAAGAATGGGTGTCACTCAGCTACTTTTTACCTAGAGAATCCTAAATATTACTCGGGTAGCATGAAGTTTAAGTGTTATGTGGTAGTTTTAATCTTGTAGCAAAATTTTAAGCAAATGCCCTACTTGCTATGTGAACTATGTATCATTGAGTTCCAAGAAATATTAGTTATCCTTTGGCAAACTGACAGCCAGAGTTGGACATCAGAAAATTCATGGTAACATTGACTGGGATTGGGGACCTGAGAGAACACAGTCTCCTGATTTGAGATACCTAACTAGTATGAAGTTACTCTGATATAAGCCATACCCATTTTGTCTGCTATAAAAATGCAGCTGCTTCTCATGAGAGGGCAAGGTGAACCCTAGGGTGAGGAAGACAAGGACACAGAATCTATACAGATGGTTAGATAGCACAAAATTCTAGGCGCACATTTAGGATTTTAATTTACCACCACAAGATCTGTATTTAGTAAGAACTAAAATTGGTTCATTTCCAGGAAAAGAAAAAAAAAAGCTGATTTTTCTCAGTCCTTTTTGGCCTGCGAGTTCATGGACTTTTTTGGTTATTAAACAGTACACAGATTATACACGTGTTTTCTGAGTAGTCCTCCTCCTTTTCCTCCTCCTCAATATCTCCCTCCCCCTCCCCCTCCTTTTCTTCCCCCTTCTTACTCCTCCTCTTCTTCCTCATCCTCCTCTTCCTCCCCAGTCGACTCGCTTAAGGATACAGCAGAGAGGGCAGCTTTCAGGATAGAATGGCAAGTGTTGTATAGAGATGTCACATACACATATCTGAGGTACCCTGAGGAGCTACTGTGCACATGCCCAGTCCTTCCATATTAAGAGTGGCCAAAGGGGAATCTCTATTATTCTCAGATGCAGCCTTTTCTGGTGGACCACTTGTCTCCTAAAGTGAACAGTTGTCTGGGGCACTTAAAGGGATGTTGCTCTTTTCACGTGCACAAGATGGCAGAGTGGAAAGGGTCTGTAAGGCTGAACAGTGGAGCTGTTTTACTTTTCTGATCCTAAGACAAGTTTTATTAACTAAAATACAAATGAAATGCCACTACAGGGACCCACCAAGGTCTCTCTTGTGCTGTATCTTACAGTAGGAAGGGACTGTGGCTGCTTGTCTGCTTCTCTGATCTTTCAGGTGTTTACACTGATTTCTGACTCCTGTTTTTATTGATAAGATTAATTAGATTGACACTTTGCCTTCCCCTTGGGATCTAGTCAGTGAAAAATGAACCTGCTGGTTCAGGTCAAACTTGTACGTGAGCAAGGATTCCTGAGTACAGGAGAAAGACATTATATATATATTCAGCAATATTCATTATATATAGTATATGATATGATATATAATTATACACAATATAATCAGTAAAACTCATTATATATTATATGTATATAAATATATTATATATATTAACATGCATACACACGCACATCATGGTAGGAAAACTGCCTGAAATAAGAGAAGTAAAACATGGGGCAGCTAAATTTTAAAGAGCACTTTTTCCCCTTGAGATGCTTTGTTTGCTTTTCTTCAGTTCTTAGAATGAATTGCTAAAGCACTTCAAAATGTTTTTATTTTCATTCTAAAAATCTGCCCTTGTTTCTCTGACAAATTTCCCGTAAATTTAAACACATGTGAACATGTAGGTAAAAAATTTAAAAACCTATGAAGCCCAAATAAGTTCCCTATTAATAGATTTGCACTATGAAATTAGATTTAACAGATCCACAGACTAAAACTGATTTAATTGTAGTTCAACAGCCTCGCATTTCTGCTGAGTCTCTTCCACAATAGACTTGGGGGAAGAGAACAAAAGGAAAAAATAAAAAGTCAAAAAATAGGGATAAAAAGATCCTAAAAACAAAATGTGATGCCAGTTTTTAAATTTCTTTTGCATCATGATGTTACAGAAAAAAAGAAAAATTTCCTTGTTTGATGATACTGTTATAAAAACCACCAAAAATGGCTCCCACCACTTTGATTGAGCCAAATGCCCCTACTACAGCAAGGTATTTTACAGACAAATGGAGAAAAGACAAAACAAAACAAACAAATAAAACAACAACAAAATCACAGCAGCTGCAAGGAGCTGGAGGCCATGCTGGTCAGTGGTTGCATTAACTCTGGAAGGTTAGCTAAACCACTAGAAAGTGAGGAAGCTTGTGTGTATGTGTTTTTTAAAGATGGCCAGAAGAGTGATGGTGGCTGAGAAGACTGGAGCCCCAGGCTGCTTTCGCAAGACACAGCAGCCCAAGCCTAGCTTCTGGACCTACCTACTAGCCTCTCAAAAGTACAGGCCTGTGGAGCCACGGCCTTGGTGCAGAGTAGGTGGGGCAAAAGTGCCTGAGTGCGACAGGCAGGCACTAACTCAGACAACTTCATGACAGAAGTTCTAAAACATTTCTCACCTTCCAGTCCTTTTTCTGTTCTCATTCCTGATCTCCACTCAATTTCTACACATCAATCAGGTCTTACAATAAGTTCCAACTTCTAATTCTAAACACTCGTTTGGATGCAAATAATGCCAATGAACTCCCTCTCAATCAAAACAGAGCAGCTGCTTCTGTCAAAATGCCCTGGGCTGTTTAAGCCCAAAAGCAAGTCTAGAATATGGGGTTTGGTCCTCCCATTTCAGATTTAACTTGCCTTTTCTCCAAATGTTCTTTAAAGCCCTCTCCTGGGTCAAACCATCTGGTTGGCCCTCTGGCTCTGTGACAGGAAAAAAAGGAGAACAGAACATCCTAAAGGATAAATACAAAAATAAAGGTTAAAATTGAGCTGGTACGATTTCCTTAGAGACTTAAATACTATCATTTCCCTCTCTTCTCCAGCCACCATAAACTGCCTATGACCCCAGCTTTTCACTTAAAAAGATATTTATGCTTTATTTTAATATTTTGTTTTAATTTTGATACAGTTTTTACATGATACATAACATTTACATATCCACTTATAGTTAAAACTAGCTTACATTTGCACATAAAATTTTGAGAGAGAGAGAAAGAGAGAGAGAGACAGAGAGAGAGACAGAGAGAGACAGAGAGAGACAGAGAGAGACAGAGAGAGAGAGAGAGAGAGAGAGAGAGAGAGAGAGAGAGAGAGAGAGAGAGAGAGAAAGTGGAGAATCAAAGTTTCAGATTTCTAGAAGTTTGGAGTGAACAGATCTGATGCAGGTGGGTGGGGTCACTGCAAGCTGGGAGAGCCAACAGGCAGCAGTGGTAATGTGGTTGCCCAAAGCAAAGATGGTGGTGAGGTCATCTGTTCTGCTCTCTTTGCCCTTAGTCAAGATGGCAGGAGTTACATGATCACCCATAGCAAAGGCAGTGGTGAGGTCATCTGACATGTGTGTAGCAAAGAGGGTGCCTGCATATATGTTGCAAGGCATGGAGAAACCATGTGGTTTTTAGAGCAGTCATGCAAATTTCAAAAGGGTTCCAAATAACAAGGCAGACATACAAAATGTGTAAAACATATTTTAAACAGAATTACATCCATGTGGCCACACACCATTCACACATGAAGTAGACAGGAAACTTTCCCAGAATACACTGCCAGCCTGCAGTTTGGTGGGAAAGAGGGACCTGCCCTCTGGGCTGAATGGTACGATAGCAGTGGTGGCTTGAACAGGAGAGAGACAGAGAGAGAGAGAGAGAGAGAGAGAGAGAGAGAGAGAGAGAGAGAGAGAGAGAGAGAGAGAGAGAGAGAGAGAGAGAGAAAGAGAATATTCATTTTGAACAGGTGAGTGTAAAATGCTGTAGGATCCTGAGTGGCTGCAGTGGGCAGAGGGCCATTTAACTATGCCACAGGTTCCCGAGCGGGGGCAGGCAGTAGGCCCCAGAGCAGCCAGTCCCAGGCAGGGACGGTGCATGAGACCATGCTGCAGATCTCTGAAGGTGGCTGGTCCTGGGCAGGGAGCTGCATGGCAGGTGAGAGACAGAGACATGGATAGGCACACTATACAGAGTGAGGTTGGATATTTATTTAGTGGATTATGGAAGGGAAGGAGAGAAGGGAGAAGGGGAGAGGGAGAAGAGGAGAGGGAGAAGAGGAGGGAGAGAAAGAGATAGAGACACATAGAGAGACACATGCAGAGAAACAGTAGGAAGAAAGGGGAAGTGGGGAGAACGAAGAGAGGCAGATGCTGCCTCTTCGGGGGAGAGATGGAAAAGGAAGAGACTCAGGCTCCAAGCAGGAAGAAAGATCTGCCTGCCTAGTCAACAGGGGAGGGAGTGGGTGGGGCTTGTCTCTTAAAGGAACAGGACAGATCATTACATTCCCATCTCTTTTTTATAATAAAAAGGTAGGAGGTTAAGCACCACAGGTTAAAGGAATTGGGGTGCCGGATTTTCAAGATTGCTTCCTGCTTATTTGTGGGTGTTGTCTTTGGGGGGCACCTGAGAAGGCTGGGTGCTTGTCACATCCTGGCATAACTGGTCTCTTTGCTCCTGTCTGGTGTTTGTGGTATAGAAATGTCTGGTGTATCTTACACCTGTTTAAGATATTGGCAGAACAGAGGACAAAGTTAAGGAAAAAAATATTAGGACCAGGGAATTGAGAGGGGTGTATCTGACCTGTTTAAGGTGGATTCTTCATTTTGGCTCCCTGGAATTTAACAAAAATTCTTTGGGCTTGTGAAAACAGAAGTTTTAGACATATATATTGTATAAACAGCAGCATATTTATGCCAGAATGACTGTGACAGATATGTTTGTATAATGAAAAGTATTTTTGAGATTATGGAAGGCAGCATGTGAGAGAAATTTGTTAACTTGTTTTTGTCCTCA